ACTCCACATATGCAAACAGCACCTAGACAGCTGGCTACATGTGTGCAAACAGCACCTAAACAGCTGACTCAACATACACAAACAGCACCTAGACAGCTGACTTCACATATGCAAACAGCACCTAGACAGCTGACTCCACATATGCAAACAGCACCTAGACAGCTGACTCCACATATGCAAACAGCACCTAGAGCTGACTCCACATATACAACAACACCTAGACAGCTGACTCCATATATACAACATCTAGACAGCTGGCTCCACATATGTAAACAGCACCTAGACAGCTGGAAAATTAAACTTTGAGCAAGAACTAGTTTTCCAGCTATTTGCATGCTATCATTATAGATATGAAGTCCAGTCTGAGCATAACATGAGTTCCAATCTGAGTATGCTGGGTATGCACATGGCCATGGATCTTTTGATCAATGCTTATAGGATCTCATTTGAATATTGTGATGATTAGTTAGCATATTTTTTTTTAATTGTTAATTTCAAAAAAACATTAAACATTTAAAACATGCAAAATTATACAAATACATATAAATGCAACAAAATGATTGAGAAAATCACATTTTAGAATGTATAATTATAACAAAACTGAACAACTGATGATTTATTGCACTCACCCTGTAGTCTGTTTCTGACATGCACCAGCTGTTCCGTCGCAGTTCGTAGCCCCCGTACCTGTCACTTCTTTACATACATTGATATAATAGTCATACATACTATATGTCACCTTGTAATTGTCTTCTTTCTTCAGATTACTCAGATCAAAAGAAAAACCTGGAAAAATAAGTCAATGATTTAATGCTAATGTAGTTAAGGAAAGGAGTTTATAAATGCTTGCTCATTCTATAACACAATTAAAAAACTTTTCAATTTAAGGTAGCTGACTGGACTTATTGAATTGTACCTATGATTTATTTTATGCATTTCACACAAAATGAGCTAAACAACATTTACCATTGGTTCCTAGAGTAATCAGACATGCTAAAAACTGCTACCGTGTGAAGTAAATTCTATATTTTTTTTATATTTAATCAATTAATTAATATACAACCATATATGTACCTCATAACTGCTCATGCTTCAAATAGACATACTTCATTTTCTGACAGGTTTTTTTCAAAAATATCGCTAATGTGTTTTAGCTATTTTGAATTTTTTTTTCATCAAAGATTTATAAGATGAGGACATGTAACAATATGATATTCAATGAAGTTTCCAATTTGAAGTCAGTCATGAATTGCAAGATGATCACAAAATTGGCAGAAAAACATTTCTGAAAATACAAGAACTGGTAAGAGTTCATCTTAAGTGCCATCAGTCAGTTCTATAGCGCCATCAGTCAGTTCATGTGACGGGTTATCTTCTAGCGTACGCAATTTGTTCGCTGGTGTCCCTGGTTTCTAGCATTCTGATAAGCTATCAAATGTTTAACTACAAAATCCACCCACCTTACGCAAACAAAATTCAAACGTTTCTACATGACAGTATGCAAGTATCTGAAGTAAAGGTGCAACTCAGAACTTTTGGTTTTCATTGCATATCCCCATGCATGGATATCCAAGCTACATATTCATATTTCATAAATCTTTGGTTGTATAGGCGAACAATTTTTGAGTCCCTCAAACAGTGAATAAATAACAATCACAATAAAGTACCTGCTTCATCGTCAACTACTTTGCAATGATCCCCTTTTCGTTTGCCTAGTGGGCAAGCTGCCGCAGTGTGCCACTCAAATTCATACAGACATTTATTTTTACGAATCAACGTCGGACCACTTTCCAAATCACCTGTAAATTAAAATTAATAATACATTTATAAAATAGATAATACAAATCATAAAGAAATCAACAATAATTATATTGTATACTGCAATATGTACAAATATGAGATGGAAGTCAAGGCAGAATAAACAAGCCATGCAGTCAGCAATCTTTGATCTGATTGGAAAACAACTTGTCATGGACATGTAATCTTAAATGTACAATGAATGTACCAAATTTGAACAAAAACTGACAAAGCATGCATAAGATACCACATTTTCAAAAAACAAAATGGCTGCCAGTCGTCCATCTTTGATACGATCGGGAAACAAACCGTCATAGACATGTATCCTAATATGTATATTGTATGTACCAAATTTGAACAAAAACTGACAAAGCATGCATAAGATATCACATTTTCATAAAACAAAATGGCTGCCAGTCGGCCATCTTTGATTGGATAGGTAAACCACTGTATGTGCATATGTCCCAGATAAAGTACTGGGCACATGCAAAGAATGAACAGATCTGGTTAAGAGGGTTATGAAATATTATTCCAGACTGAAGGATGGACAGAGACCTGAATTATAAGTCATGATTTTGAACTTCGTTTGAACGGGAAATAATATCTAATATAATTTGGTATGTTTTTTTTGCTGAATCATCGCTTAAAATCAACAAATAAGCACATTTACAGTGACAAAAAATGTGCACAAGTGTCGACAATGAGCAAACATAATCATTATGCACACATATATGGCATATAGTTACCCATAATGCACAGTTACTCATTGTGCACACGAGTATACCCACGATGCCATCACCCATGATGCATAGTTACCCATGATGCACAGTTACTAATGATGCACAGTTACTAATGATGCACACTCACCTGGGGAGCAGACAAAAGTGATAGTTGTTTCCATGTGAATACTGGAATCAGTATCAACACAGGGAGATCCTTCAGAGTAAGTCAGTTTCAGATTGCCGCCTTCTATTATCAATGAGCTGCTGTACTTGCCAAGACTTTGCGCTCCAGTGTCTGTGCCTGAGAAAAGACAAAAACAAATTTGCTATCACAAAATAAGTCACATCAACAAAACCAAGTATATTGTAACAGTGGTAAAAGTGTCACTGTTCGTGCTGGAAATTACATGTGATCTTAAAGGCAAAAGAAACCATATTATAAAAGACAATGTAACTGTTAAAGATAGATGGCTGTGACTAACACACTTTTGTTTTTCCTATAATTTTAAGCTGTTATTTTATGTGAGAGACTATTTCAAATCTGAAGAAAAAATTGTGATTAACAGTTATCTTATGCGGCGTATAAAATGCATGTAAAACACAGTTTGCCTCTTATTTGAGGTGTACCGACTATAGCACTTAAAGGACGACAGTCGTCGTGTCGCGTCCTGTTCGATATGGGACTCATAGCAACGTATACAATGCGTGTAAAATACATTGTTTATTTAAATGGAATTCGACCACCCCGCTTTAAAGTTAAAGTTTACTACAAACATGTATTTACCGATTTTACAGCCTGCAGATCCCGGTGGACAGTTCGTAGTAAATGGATCAGACGACAAGATATCACCGCAGACGTTTAAAAAATACCTCTCATCAGACTCATCATGTTGAAGGGCTTCCCAGTTACTCCCCTCAGTTTTTACAAGCGTTGAGAGATCAAACTGCTGTTTCCCATCACTGCTGGTCACATGACAGTTGCTGTCACGAGCATGGTCACGGCAGGCATGTTTCGTTTCCCACTCGAAAAAATAGGAGCATTCCTCCTCAGTAACGAACTTGGGTTCACCAATGCCTAGATTATATTTGTGAAAGATAACACAACATTGACTTTGAAGCGGGAGGGTCGTCACCTGGGCACATGCGGGAATTCAGTCCCAAGCGACGATAACAACACACACTAAAAACGCAAATGCTCATGGGTAGACTTTTGTTTATAAACAATGACACGCTATGGCCATCTAATGCATGCACGCGCAGATGACGACTCCCTCGCTTTAACATTCCATGTGTCAGAGTTGCATTCACGTTTCACAAATCTAGAAGGTACCACCCAGTGACCAATATATACGATACACTATAACACGTTGAGATTGTGGATGGATATGATAATCACTGAGTTAGGGGGCTTTAAAGATCAGTTACATTGTATAAATGTTTGTCTATGGGTTAAGACCCTCCAGTACTCTGAAAATGAAATGTGTAATTATAGCTCTAGGAAAGATAAACATTTTATATTTTGTAATTTTGGCTTGTTCTGTGAGTGATTTTTCCCAGGTGTGCAAAGGATGAATGCAACTATCGTACACACATTTTATTACAATACGGTTTACATACCGAATTTAATTTTTTCAATGCAATGCAGAAGTGAATTACCGCGATGTTGAAATGCGATCTGTTAACACTGATTTCGACAAAAAAAGCGGATAATTTTTTCCCTAAAAGCTGTTGATTTGCACCCCACTGAGAGTGGGGAAGTATTTAAACAAGTCATGTCAAAGGAATAGTTTGCTCGTTCACGCCCCATTCATGATAGACTCAATGGACATGATTATTCGGAAAAGAAAACGATATTCAATGACCTGGTTTAACGACTTGACGATCACATTTTAGCCGTTTGGAAAACTACTACTCAAAAGAAATATGGATTATTTCAGTATTGCAACATCACGGTTCATCGGTACGTTTGCCCGCCATGCACTCTGAAATTAATGTGAGTTTTCTTGTAAAAGCTGGAACCAAATTACCGTACCAATCATAATTCTTATGCAATGAAATACACTTTTTACATGCATATTTTAATAAATGTCGTTGATGCCCGGTAAAAACACCCTGGGCCTATACTCGGTGATGCCCTCAACTCGTTAAATATCTAAAAACAGAGGGGTGGGCTTATACTCGGGGAGGGGCTTATACTCTGGGAATTACGGTAAATCTGAAACACAGACACAAATCTAAAGATTTCACAGTAAAGATGCTTTGAAGCTAGTTATTTGTGAAAAGCTGTCAGAATTGTTTTTTTCTTGTGTACAACTTTATCGGGCAGTACAAATCAACAAGCTATAATGGGACGTAGCATACCTGAAGCGGCATTGCATTTGAATGAGATGAACGAACTCCTTTCTAAACCATTATGACTACACTGATCACCATGTCGGTAAATCAAAGTCAATTCACCATCTGAGAACCTGTGAAGTAAGTCAATATTTAGCAAGATTATAAAATCATTTTAAAAATGCGACACCAATGTATAATCTAGTACCTGTGTGTAATCCTTCCACTAAACCAGGCGATGTAATAGTGAGAAAGCGGCATTGACATGAATATAAACAAAATGGCCAACAGTTGGCCATTTTTGTCCCAATATAGAAAAACATTTGCTATGCACCTGTAACCTGATAAGCATAATGTCAATGCAAAGTTTGGGTGAAATTGAGCCGATCATATCTGAGAAACAGTTCCAGACATGTTTAATTAGCGGAATTTAGCATTAATTTGAGGAACGAAATGGCCACCAGATGGCCATATTTTATCAAATAGTAATAACAAATTGACATGCATATATAACTCTTCATACATAGAATTTTTTTAAAGTTTGAATGAGACTGATCGAAGCAGGTTCAAAAAATGGCACAGGACAGACACAGGGACTGGCGCAGTGAATACAGACACATTACTGTAATCGTCATATTGTTCTGATCACAAAATTGGTAACAATACCAGCTATTAAAGTTGCAGGTTTGAAATATTTTAGAGCAGTACTATTGCTCATAAATGCGCGAGAAATTTCCTAATTGGTAAGCAATTCAAGAAATCATCGTGTGTGCCTGCGTACATCAATAAAATCGCATGTAAAGAAATATTGACTGATTGTTGCTTGTATTACAAAGCAGATACAATTGAAGGGCCTGTATACATCTAAATAAGTTTCTCAGTTTCATTGAGCATAATTTTGTAAAAAAAATCAAGGCTGAAATTATTTTATCAAACCATAAAAGGAACACCGTCATTTCCATGACGACTACAGAATACTGACTTTGAATATCCCATTCCTGTCAAATAGTGGCAACTAGTGTACCCCCTCCAATACGACTGAACCAACCTCAATATCCTGTCTTTGTTTGAACCTGCAACAGTACACCAATTACTGTCTTCAGACGTCTGCCAGACTGCAGGATCTCTTGCATGGTCCCCATCACACTCTATATCAGTATTTTTACAGACATCAAGATAGTACCTGTACATTTTATCATCCCACCCCTTACCTTCAGCAATATATTTATCCTCAGATTCTGTAATAGAACATAATTGCAATATAGATGAGAACATTCTTCATTTTTGTTGTTTGATTGTGATTAATTTTTCAAAGATAAGATTATAAGATTATAATTTGTTGGTTTTGTAAACATTCCTAGTACATGTGTGCACGAATTAGTTTGGTTATGTCCAATGTCAGTTGTGCACAATGACATGTAAAGTTGTGTTTTTCAGTTTACATAGAATAAATACTAAAAAAAAGATCAACATTGCATACTGCACACTGATTTGATTGGTGCATTCAAATTAAAAAAAAAGAATCAGAGATTGTACTGTTAGCATTCATAAAAACAAAACTTGTTATAGATAAAATCATTTTCTCAATTTCTGACAATAGTGGATATGATGTCATACTTTATCCATAATCCTTTCCTGAAGAGTCAAAATGGCGGACTAAAATCTGTAAATTG